CGGCGCCGCATCGCCGATTCCAGGGCCATACGTCCCCCCGGAGCCGATCCTCCCCAACGCCCCCCTCCGCGTCTGACACGCGGGCCCCTGGAGCTCCAGGGCCCGATGGCCCACGAGCCCTCGGAGAGCCCAGGAGCCCTCGAGAGGCCCCCCTGGTGGTCCCAGGGACCGAGGCCAGAGGGCCCAGGAGCCGCTCGGAGTCGGCCCCCCCCATTGTCGAACTGCGCCTCATCTCGTCGTCTTCGTTGTCGGCGCCCGCCTCGTCGTCATCGTCGCCGCCGTCGTTGTCGTCGGCGCCGTCGTCTTCGTCGTCATCCTTGTCGACGTCGGCAAACCCACCCACCCCCTCCGCATTGTCGCATGCGGCGAGTAGAAACACTCTTCGTTGTTTCGTCCCCCAGACGTTGCCACGTGACGGGCAGAGCTTCATATTGTGTGTTCCCCCCTTTTGCACTGTCACGTGACAGGTAGAGTATAGTAGTTTATGTCTCCGCGCCCTGCGTTGCCATGTGACCAGTAGAACAGAGTATGTGCGATGTTGCGTCCCAGGCGTTGTGACATGATGGGTAGAGCATAATGCTAGTTGTTTCCGCCCCCCCTGTGTTGCCACGTGCAGAGTGGAGTAGAATGGCACGGTTCCCCCGGCCCCGCCCCCCGGCCGCGCGCTGCACACCCCCGGCCGTGCCCCGCGAGAGATCGGGCTGCCCTTGGGAGCCTTGGGGCCAGGCTTTGAGGGGCAGATCATTCGGGGGCACCCAAGATAGTGGGGGGGTAGTAATCAGGGGGGTGCAAATACCATGGCCAGGGCCATGGGTGTCTCCCTGGATTTCGTGGCCCCCGCTTCTTCTTATGATTGTTACGAGTATTATTGCTGATAGTAGTACGGTAGGTTTGCGTCGTGTCGACCAGCGGCGACCCCAGCGCGGGCGTTCAAGGTTGAACGCCGCTGGCGACCCAGAATCGGTCGACGTTGAACGATTGGACGTTGCGGCAGCGGCCGATCGTTCAAGGTTGAACGATCCCTGCGGTGTCAGAAACCAACGCTGGGGTCGGCACGACACGAACCTGCCGTATTCGTACCCTTCTCATTCTTCATCTTCTTATCCGTAAGGGCTTCGCCCCCTGCCGCCGGCCCCCTCTCTCGGAGAATGGGCCATGGAAGAGCTAAGTCATGAGGCTTTGGCGCTGTCGTGCAGCAGTATCGGAACTTCATGCGAGGCCGATTCGCAATCGGCAAAACCAACTGATCACAAGAGGGGTTACCACACAGGGCGATTGGTAAGACGTGTATGGTTTACGAGCTTGGTTACCACACCTTGGGATTAAAGGGCCGAGGGAGTACTCGCAGTTTGGGTTACCACGCCTTGCGATGGATGTGCGTGAGGGGTGGCACCGAATTTCAGAAATGTGGCAAATCCCCTGTGTTTTTGGACCCTGACCCCGCGGATCTGCGTGAGGGGTGGCACCGAATTTCAGAAATGTGGCAAATCCCCTGTGTTTTTGGACCCTGACCCCGCGGATCTGCGTGAGGGGTGGCACCGAATTTCAGAAATGTGGCAAATCCCCTGTGTTTTTGGACCCTGACCCCGCGGATCTGCGTGAGGGGTGGCACCGAATTTCAGAAATGTGGCAAATCCCCTGTGTGTTTGGACCCTGACCTCGCGGATCTGCGTGGGAGGTGGCACCGAATTTCAGAAATGTGGCAAATCCCCTGTGTTTTTTTACCCTGACCCCGCGGATCTGCGTGAAGGGTGGCACCGAATTTCAGAAATGTGGTAAATCCCTTGTGTTTTTGGACCCTGACCCCGCGGATCTGCGTGAGGGGTGGCACCGAATTTCAGAAATGTAGCAAATCCCCTGTGTTTTTGGACCCTGACCCCGCGGATCTGCGTGAGGGGTGGCACCGAATTTCAGAAATGTGGTAAATCCCCTGTGTTTTTGGACCCTGACCCCGCGGATCTGCGTGAGGAGTGTCGATTTCGAGCCCCCCCAGCAATTCAGACAACGCGCCCAGGTGGTGCTAAAAAATCCTGTTTGGGCCTCCCCCCCCCTCGCGCGGTCAATCAACTAGTTACAGCAACCAGCAAGAAGTCAACTAGTTACAGTAACCAGCAAGAAGCAGAACTGCAACACTGGAAACTACAAGCTACAACTGGTACAGGAAACTGCGAATCACGCGCCTACAGCCTGGTGGCCCCACAAGGGGGCCGGCGGATTCGTATGATTAGTATTTCTCTTGTTTGTAAGATTCGTGTTTTATTCGTCTATTATGATTGTTCTCCTTCGTCTTATCATCCTTAGTTTTATTTTTACTATTAGTTGTATTATTCTTCCTCTTCTTCTAGCACGTCCCGTGTAACCCCTCCCGCCTGGTGCGCGCCATGATTTGTTAACCCCCCTCCTGGACGCCCCCGAGAAATCTCGTGCTCTCCCGGCTCGCCCCTCCCAGCACCGCCGGCGTTGAACATTTGTTCCAACGAGCACCCTCGTGGCGACGAAGTTGCCTGTGGCACCCCATTTGAGCGTCGCGGCCACGCGCGCGGCGGCGCGGCGCAGAACAGGTCGAGAGAGCGTGCGCACCGGCCCAGCTCACGCGGCGAGGAGAAGTCGGATCCACCCATACGGGATCGACAGCAACACTCAGGGAGGGGCAGCCGTGAGGGGACTGACGGGGGAAGGAGGGGTAAAAGAAAGGAAGAGAGCGGGAAGGCGAGGCAGTGCGACAGTACCAAGCCACGGCAGCAAGCGAAGCGCAGCGGGGAGGCGGCAGTGTGGCAGCCAGCCAGAACAGGAGGACGGTATGGAGCACCCGCGTACACTTGGCGGCCAGCGGCGCCAGAGACGGATGGCCACGCAGCGGGGCCAGCGGGTCTACGAGGGAATATGCAGCCCCCAAGTATGGTGCGCAAGGAACGACGATGATCGATGTCGATGTGATCACCAGGAAAGACGGAGGCAAAAGAGATGAGAGGAGCGAGCAGGATGTTGGAAAGTCCTTGTGACAAGTCATTCCCTCAGTGGCGGGCCCGCTCTTAGGTCCTCATGGGGCCGTTTCTGGCGGGTATGATGTGTTACATAGGGCCCTGCTTGAAGCAAAGGGTTCCTGTGGAGGCGGAGGAGTGGGGGAGATGAGGAAGATGAGGAATACGTAGCACCCCACAGTTGTGGACAAGAGTGAGAGGGTCGGGCGCGGAGTGGGTCGCGGGTGGGGGGGGGACGACAACAAGAGCAACAACCAGAAGTTCAATGATGTTCTCTCTTGTGTGATCGCGTGCCACTCCGGTTTCGATCGTACCCCCATTGGGGGCATATCTTCCTTACCTGCCACGTGCAGTTGGCGCAGCCACCCGAACAGGAAGAGGAGGGAGACCAGCAACAAAAACAGATAGCGCGGAGGAAAGGAGTGGGGGAGGGAAGGGAGGGAGGAGAGAAGGGGCAAGGGGGAGGAAAAAGCACGGAGCAAGGGAGAGATTGACAGGAGTGGTGTCAGGAGCAGGAAAGCAAGCGGCAGAACCAGAAGGGCGGATCGGGCGGGCGGACCCCAACGGACGGGTCGGACGGGCGCGCCCAGACGGTTGGGTCGAGCGGGCAGGTCGCTGAAGCGTCAGTCTTGCGTGAAGCGCGGGGAGGTCTTCAGCGATAGCGCGATTTCCCAGAAAGTCGTGAGGAAGTCCAGAGCGAGAGCGTGATGCCTGAGTGTCGAAGGCGCGGCGTCGGAATAAAGTGCGAGGAGCTCCCAAGCGAGAGCGCCATTTCTAGGTAAATCGTGAGGACGTCCCGCGCGAGAGCGCGATTTTGAACAACTCGTGAGGAAGCATTAAGCGGGAGCAGTTGTTCTTGCAAACCAGGGGGCCATTACCACAGTCTGACGCACATGATTTTCCTGTGATCGGAACAAAGTGCGGACCCCGGGACAGACACTCCAATCGAAAAAACACGATGGGTACTGGGGATCAACATTGAGTATTTCTCAGAAATAAAAGTTCGAGCAACAACAAGCAAGCAGAATCCGGGCCACAGAATCTCACTTCATCCACGCACCCAGGGATGGCGTAAGACCGTTCGGCACCCTCACGCTGACGTTCGTTGCGCTTCCGGCTGGCTTCCCTCCGTGGTGGTGCTTCTCGGCCCCCTAAAAAAGAATGCGACAAGTGAGAAAGTGTTCGTCCCAGTGGGTGCCGCTCGGAGATGTCAGGACCCTTCCGACTTGCAGATCCAGGTCACGACATTAGCAACTGAATGTTCGAAGGTGGATCGGCTACCCCCAGCCACGCCCCGCAAGGATTTGAGCTGCCCTGGGAAGCCCTGGGGCCAGGGCGGGAAGGGGGCAGAAAATCTCGCGTTCCCAGGGCAAGTCAGGAGGCGGTCCTCCCAGTGGGTGCCGCTCCAAGATTTCAGGACCAAATCGAACTTCAAATCGGTTTCATGACATTAGCACTGCAATTTTCGAAGGCGGAGCGGATACCCCCAGCCACGATTCGATCTGCCCCGGGCAGCCTTGGGGCCAGGGAGCGGGTAAGAAAATCTCGTGTTCCCAGGGCAACTCAGGATGCGTTCCTTCCAGTGGGTGCCGCTCAGAGGCTTCAGAACCCAATCGAACTTTACAATGAGGTATCCCAGCAATGCTCGAAGGTGAAGCAGATGCCCCCAGTCACGCCTCGCGAGGATTCGAGTTGCCCCGGGAAACCTTGGGGCCCGGGGGGCAGAAGATCCCTTGTCCCCCGGGGAAGTCGGAAGGCGTTTCTCCCAGTGGGTGCCTCTCGGAAAGTTCAGGACAAGCCGAATGGCAAATATCGAAAAAAACAAAAATTGCATAAACCTAAACTTTCAGAGGCCCGCGCGGAGTTCTTGGATCGGCGCTTGACTCCCTCCCTGGCGCGCGAAGCGCGCCATTGGCGGCGCTGGAGGCGCCGCCAGGGCTGGATTCGTTTAAAACTTGGGTCAAGACATTACGGTCAGGAACTGGAGCTTAGCGTGTCGTTCCGCCGGTTCTGGCCCACCACGCTGCGGCGCGACACGCTATTCACACCCTTGTCCCCAGGCGTCAACGACCCGAGTTTTTCCCAGCCTCCCGCCATGCGGAGCGGGGCATAGCGTGTCTCCAGGGCCGCCGCCGCGACACGCTTAGCAAAAGATGATCGCTGGTATTTCCGAAGGTGGGGCTGCTCCGCGCTGCTGTCTGCAGCGGCAGGCCCGTGCGGCTGCTCTGCCACTGCGCCAGGCCCTTCCGGGAGCTCGCCGGGCAGTGCTCCCCGTGCCACGCGGAGGCGATCGCGGATTTGCTTGACCCGCTGTTGGCAGCAGGGGTCGGCGACCAAGTCAGTCCACGCTCCCATACTAGATTATATATGTATATAAAAATACATGTATGTACACAGCTGCGTTCGTGTATGTATATATACACATACAAACATATGTACTCATGCACATATAACTATAGACACGTCAACATAAAAATATACATCTACAAAGACATAGACATGAACATACACATATGTATATGCATATTCAAATACATATACATATGCATATACACATGTATCTATAGAGAGAGAGAGAGATGAATCATATACCAGAAACCCATCCCAGGGGGGCCCCGACAGCAGCACACCAGGGGCACCCTCCCAACCCAGAGCCTCCAGTGCTTTCCCCCGAAGCTCCAGGACCCACGGTAGAAGCTCCGGACGTCCCAGATGGCTTCCAGATTGCTCCCGGACGGCCCAGGATGGCCGCAGCACGGCCCAAAAGGCCCCCCAGACGCCCCACGACAGTTCCATGAGAACCCTCAAGAGGGCCCCCAGCGGCAAAAATCGTCCCATGACCATCGGAAAACGCACGTGTTTTGCATATTCATGGTTTGTCCCACCAGCGAACCAGGCGGCTCCGAGAGGCCCCCAAGAGCGCCCCAAGATACCAAGGATGACCCCAAGACGACCCAAGAGGCGCCCAGGACGGCCCAAAAGCGCTTCAAGAGGGCGCCGAGAGGCCCAGAAGAGGCTCCCCAAGCGCCCCCCGAGCGGCCCTCAGATCGCCCTCGGCGCCAAGGTGGCCCCTGGAGCGTGCCGGCGGTCCCCAAGAGGCAAGAGGCCCCCAGAGTCTCGCAAGAGCGGCCCCGTAGATACTACAAGATATTTCTTGCGCGCCTCGCATCGAAGACATCTCTATTCTAAAAGGTGTGCGCGAACATTCAGTATGCAAATGCTATTCCCCCCCCCTCCTCCTCCTCCTCCTCCTCCTCCTCCTCCTCCTCCTCCTCCTCCTCCTCCTCCTCCTCCTCCTCCTCCCCCTCCTCTCCTCTCCTCCTCCTCCTCTCCTCCTCCTCCTCTCCTCATCATCATCATCATCATCATCATCATCAGCAGCAGCAGCAGCAGCAGCAGCATCATCATCATCATCATCATCAGAATCATCATCATCACCGTCAGAATCCGAAACATAATCATCATCAGCATCATCATCATCAACAACATCATCATCCTCATCATCATCATCATCATCCTCATCCTCATCATCATCATCAGCAGCATCATCATCATCCTGCCTCATCCCCCTCTCCCTCCCCCGCCCCTCCCTCCTCTCCCCTGCGTTCTCCTTCCTTTTCCCTCCCGCCTTCCTCCACTCTCACTCTCTTGCTCTTCTTCATTCCTTACTGCATTCTCCTCCCTCCGTTCCATCGTCCTCCGTCTCTCCCCTCCCGTTCTCACTCCCCCCATCCTTCTTTCCCCTTTTCTCCCTCCTCCTCCTCCACCTCCTCCTCCTTCTCCTCCTCCCACTCCTCCTCCTCCTCCTCCTCCTCCCTCCTCCTCCTCCTCCTCCTCCTCCTCCTCCTCCTCCTCCTCCTCCTCCTCCTTCTTCTTCTCCTCCTCCTCCTCCTCCTCCTCCTCCTCTTCCTCCTCCTTTTTTTGTTAGACCAACACTAGGTGCGAGACTGTTGCGCTAAACCTCCTCCTCCTCCTCCTCCTCCTCCTTCTCATCATCACCACCATCATCACCATCATCATCATCATCATCATCATCATCATCATCATCATCACCATCATCATCATCATCATCATCATCATCATCATCATCATCATCATCATCATCATCATCATCATCATCATCATCATCACTCCGTCCTGCTCCCTTCCTGCTCCATCATTTCTGGAAATTCCAATGTGTTGCGAAGGTGGGGCTGCAAGGCGGCCTCCGACGCCCAAATGACATCGAAGAGAGATGCAATGTTGCCCAAGGATGGCCCGTGATTGCCTCGAATACCAAGACACAACACGACCTCAGACACCAACGCGTGGGCTGCCAAGCCAAGGACCCAACCATCCAGATACGGCCCCTCTGACTCGGTATATGTGGCATTATGGCAAGTAGAACTGGAGCGCGCGCGATGGTTCTAGTTTATGCATATATATATAGAGAGAGATAGATAGATAGATAGATAGATAGATAGATAGATATATAGATAGATAGATAGACAGATAGACAGATAGGTGTATATGTATATATATATATATATATATATATATATATACCACCCGGATCGATGCATCTATGTGTTGATTGTCTGACCGTCGCCGTACTAATTGGTTCCCCGCTTCGGTATACGATAAGGTTTGGACGGTTATGGCGCGCGGTCGTTTGTGAGTTTCGAGGTCAGAGCTACTGGGGCATGTCAGGAGACCTCTTGGGGCCTTTCGGGAGCTTCGGGTGGCCTTTGGAGGCCTCCTTGGGGGCATCTTGGGGCCTCTTGTGGGCATGCTGGCGGTCTCGGGCGCCCTTTTTGGGCCAGAGGGCTCGAAATCTCAATTCGAGTTCCCCCTCTTGGACCCCTTTCCGAGGGCCCTCTGAGGGCCCTCGTGAGCCGTCTTGGACGCTTCTTGGGCCGTATTGAGGCCCTCTCCAGGCGTCTCGGGGCCTTCTTGGGAGCCTCTTGGGTCGTCTGGGGATGATCTTGGAGGCCTCTTGGGCCGTCTTGGACTCCGTGAAGGCCGAAGAGTGTGCCGTCTGGAGGCCGTCTGGAGCGTCTTGGACTGATCGCTCGGTAACACGGGGCCCTCTTGGACCGTCCGAAAGGCCTCTTGGAGCCCTGGTGGCCCGTCTTGGAGCCCTCTTGCGGCATTCTGGGCTGGGGCGCTTTGGACCCAGCCCCGCTTGCGGGCCCGAGATCAAGGCAGATCCGTTTTCTAAGTAAACGAGCACGCATTGTATTATTACAGTTATAGATACACATATATAACCATATATGTATCGAGCCCGGATCGAGGATTCACAGGCCCTTTCCAGATGGGGTGGGCCCAAGGGTTCCACAGGCCCCGCCCGCCCCCCCCCAAGATGGGAGGGGACGACGACGGCGACGGCGACGGAGACGGCGACGACGACGTCCACCCTCCACCACGCCACGCCCACAGGGCGGCCACGACCACAGGTGGGGGAGGGGGGGGTCCCAGTCGCGAGGCTGTCACGAGGCTCACGGGCGTACCCATCCGGCGGGGGGGAGGCCCGATCCCATTAGTATTGGAATGGCGGGGCGGCCGAGCCCTGGATCATATCTTGGTAGGGGGGTGCACTCCAGAAAGAGCATCGCCTTCGAGGATCGAAGGAGCTGGCATCTCTTCCTCGGCGGAAGCCCGCTGGAAGCCAACGGAAGTAAACAAGGTGGCGTCCCCAAGAGATGCAATGCGTTAGTTCAGGTGTTTGTTGCTGAGGTGATCGGATATATAGATACGCCGGAATACATACACACATCTATATATGTGTATATATAACTGTGTATATATGTACATAGACATATTTATTGTACAAATGCTCATCTGTATATGTATACATACGGGCACGCATGTTCCGACTGCATGTACACATGTATACACGTATCCCCCGAATGGGGGCCAAATTCTCAGAGCAGCGCCGACGTCGAGAATTCCTGCCCGCGCGCATCGTAGTCCCCAAAGAGTGCTTGCACTTAAGGGTTCTGACTTGGCTCCCTGAGGAATTGGTTGGCTCCAGCTAAGATTTTCCGCGTTGCCGCCTCGTGCGCTCGGTGGGTTTGGCGAGGTTTCGCTCCGTTGCCGCCTCGTGCAATAGGCTTGTCCAGCGAGGTTTCGCCACGTTGCCGCCCGTTGCCGCTTCGCTGCAGCCTCGTTGCCGCCTCATGCGCTGGATGGGTCTGACGAGGCTTCGCCACGTTGCCGCCCGTTGCCGCTTTGCGCTGGGTGGGTCTGGCGAGGTTTCGCCGCGTTGACGCGCGTTGCCGCCTCGTTGCCGACTCGTGCGACTAGTGGGTTTTGCGAGGCTTCGCCAAGTTGACGCCCGTTGCCGCCTCGTTGCCGCCTCGTGTGCTGGGTAGGTCCAGCGAGGCTTCGCTACGTTGCCGCCCGTTGTTGCCTCGTTGCCGCCTCGTGCGCTGGGTTGGTCCAGCGAGGTTTCGCCACGTTGCCGCCCGTTGCCGCCTGCTTGTAGCCTCGTTCGCTGAGTGGGTCTGGCGGCCTTTCGCCACGTTGCCGCCCGAGCGCGGAGGCTACCGCGGCGCCAGCGCCCGCGGGTCCGCCGGCGGCGGCGGCGCAGCAGCCGCAGCTGGCCGGGCTGGCGTTGCAGCCTGGTCGGTTGCTGGACGCCTCCGAGCAGTACGTGGTGTTCGCCGTGGACGGCGCTGGGCTTCGCGAGGATGGTACGTCCATCCCTCTCATCCTCCTCCTCTTGCCACTCCTTCTCCCAGGGGCGTGTTCGTCATTTCTCGGGGTGCGTTCCAGCGGCTGCGCCTCGCCGACCTGGGTACCAGTCGCCGTCCGCGGGCCTCAAGGTTACAGACTTCCCGAGCGCCTTCGGTGCCACCCCAAGGGCAGTGCTGCGGGCTGGACGCAGATTGTGGTGCACAGCGCGTCCTGCGATCTGTCCCAGGCCCAGCCTGCTGACACTGCTGCCTCGGCAGGCGACTTCGACCAGAAGGTACCAACGTCCCACAACTTCGCGGAGAAGCAGAGGAAGTTGGAGACAGAAATCGTGGACGGTCGTTTCGCCATGATGGCAATCATCGAAATACCCTCCCCAGTGGGTTGGGCTCAGATGTTGCTGCTCACGGGCCTGATCGACATCGGGCTCATGCAGCGCATCCGCAGCAGGGGCCTGGGGGACTACAATAAAGTAGGGGTCCTGGGCGTCCTCAGCGGCGGTGGGTGGAGCGCACAGCAGTGCGCGGAGGCGCAGAAGATGGCGGATGGCCACCTTGCCATGGGGACCATCATCGACACGTTCTTCCAGAAGGGGGTGAAGCTGCGCCTCTACGAGGTGCCCCCAAGAACTCCAGGGTCATCGTGGCTCCTGTGCTGGGCCGCTTTGATGCTGGAGGGCCGAAAACAGCTGTTATCGGCAAGTTGTACATGCACGATGCAGTCCAGTACCTCTGGAGGCTGGGCTCGTCGGTAAATCACTCCACAGCCCGCACACGTGCCAGAGCAAGCTACAGAGAGCTTCGGGCACGGCTTTTCACGCCGAGGTCTCTACGTTTGCGAACGTTTGCGACTGCCACTGCAGCCATGAAAGGACCGCCTGCCGAGATTCTGGTATCCTTCCCGCCTGTGCAGCTGGACGGGTCGTGGAGGGTCCGCGAGCGTTTGGGGGACAGTCCAGTTTCGACCAGCAAAGCCTCCTGTGCGGCGTGGCTTCATCAGTGCATGGTCGGCGGAGTTGATCTCGCAATTGGCGCTCTCGGGCGCGACGGGCCCCTGCGGGGGCGGCAGCGGTCGACTGCTCTCGGGCGCGACGGGGCCGCCGCCGCCGTGCCCATTACAAGTGATTACGTCTTTGGCCAGGTGCGGAATGGCGGCTCCTCGCGGGCACACGCGCCTCTACACGTGTTCTTCCAGAACAGCCTTACCGGGTCCGCTTGGAGCGCTGGGGCGTTTCACACGGGCTCGCCGCTGCGCGCCTACCACAGCGAGCGGGGCGCGCATGCGCCAACGGGGGTCTGGGACCCCCGGGGTTGCACGAACGGTAGCGGCGTGGAGAACTTCCAAACACCGCCGCCCCACAGAGATCCAGCGTGGACCCACTTCTATGTAAAGCACCGTAGGCTACGTCTTCCCGCGGCGCGTCGGGTTCCGGAAGCTGCTGAGCCCCTCGGACGGCCTAAAGTTCACCTAGGTGCCAGCGGCCGGCTGGTTGGAGATCACCCCCGTCATCGGCGCGTACGAGGTGACCTACGCGGAGAAGCCAGGCGAGCGGGGCAACGCCAGCAAGGGCAACCTCAGCCGCTTCGGTGGGGTCGCCGACTCCGCCAAGGGCACCCGCGGCCTGAATCTTGAGATCGCGAACGGGCGACCTGCCACGATGGCGATCGTCAGGGAGTTCTACCAGGACGGCCCCATCTGGGCCCACCTCGGGCGATTGGGACCTCTGCAAATCCACCTCGCGAGGACCTCGCAGCGCGCCTTCGAGAGCGGGCTCGGCGTGCAGGTCCCCCTCAGCCCCTGGGGCCACGTCGGCTACCCTGCCGACGGCGACGGGGCCGCGTTCGGACGCCGCTGGGCGGGCCAGCGGAAGCACGGGTGCATCTCGAGGTTGGCCGCCTTGGCTTACATCATGCCCAAGCTGGGATTCGATTCCTCGGGCCACCTGTCCCCTTCGTTGGAGGACAAGTGCGCGGGCGTCCCCAGCGGCCTGAAGGTGGCGCTGGCGATCGTCGGGGCGCGGGTCATCGCCGACCTGACGTTCCGCGGGGTGCCCCAGGACAAGAGGCCTGGGACAAAAGCCAAGGTAGATGTCTTCGGATCCAAGATGCTCCTGTTCCCCGACCCGGAGATTCTGAAGGAGAAGTTCCCAGCGGAGATCGCCAACGGCCACGGGGCCGTGATGGCCACCGTCGGGACGTTCGTTCAGGACGGTTTCGCCGGGTCCCCTTGGGACGACAAGGCGCTCCCCTCGGAATCGCCGCTACGCGCCTTCGGGAGCGGGAAGGAGGCGCTGCCGCTTGTGGACTTCTGGGATCCGCTCAGTCCCTCCGCCCGCGGCAGACTGGCGGCGGCGACCGCGTTCGGCGTATTCGACCAGGTCGGCCAGAGGACCATGGTCGGCACGATCTTACAGGATGGCCCCGCCGACCCTGCTGGGGGATCACGGGCTGACCTCGCTGACTCGCCGTACCACGCGTTCGAGAGCAAGCTGCTGGGTGTGCAGATGTCTGCTCATCACAGGACCCGTCTGAGTGGCCGTCTTAGTCACCCGCGATTGCCTAAACCCTTGTGGCGGGGCGCGGCCCGATACATCAGCGATGAGGTGTTGGTTGGACTCGCTCGCAGTGGGGCGCCAGTGGGCTGGCGGAGCCGTCATGGCCAACCACCTTGTGCGTTCGATCTGCCCTTTCGTTCTGCGCGCCTACGGCCTCGCCTCATCTGGAATATGGTCTGGTGAGGTCCAGAAGTCCAGGAGGTGCCGCCATGGGGGAGGCCTGGGACTCGGGCCATTCGGCTATCTGGCTCCCTCCCAGGCTTGCTTTCTTGCTTCTAGTCGGGCATGGAGTGCCTACGTCCGCGGGCGAGCAAGGGTCGCGCACGCACCCGCTTCCACCCGCAGGTTGCTCCCGCACGCAACGCGCTCGCGTCCTTCAATGGGTGCCTTCGCGCCCTCCATCGCTCGCGCGTTCGGGTGATTCCGCTTGCTCGCATCTGTCCACCCAGCCCGTTGACGCGGCTCTTCTGCACCCACGGGCCGGGTTCGCGTCCCCACGGCTGTCGTTCTCTCTTGTTGCGCCTTGGCCGACCTTGTGCCGTGCGGGGCGCGACGGCATGCCGTGGGATCCTCGAATTGCCTCCCGTTGGCTCGGGCACGCGCTGGATCACATGTGCACATGTGTCCTTGAGCGTGCTGTTCCTCATGGGCCGTCGCGTTTTGCAGATGCTGCCTCTGGCTGGCACTGTCGGAGCTCGCGTGGAAGGTCGCCTGCTGCTCTGCGGGCAGTGCTTGGGCCTGGCGGCCAGCCCACTCGTCGGCGGCCTCAACTTTCGAGACCGCGTCGCCTGCTGCGCCTGGGGGGTTCGCAGCCTGGGAGCGGACCTGAAACGTGGGCTTCGGCCCTCCCGTCCCCTCCCCCCCTTGGCGGCCGCGGGGCCTGGCGTGCCCACCGCCTGACTGCTGGAGGCTCCGGCCACGCCGCGGGCCACCTGGGCTTCGGCTCGGTTTCTCTTACACCAGTCGCCCGCTTTGCGCGCCCAGCTCAAGCCTGGGTGGCGCTATCCTGGGGAGGAAGGCGGGGCGTGCCGCCGCTACCTCCTCGGGCTTCTGCTAGGCTCGGTTTTGACCGTTGTCGGGCGGGCGGGGTCGCCCCCGCCGCTCGACTGCCGCCTGGTGTCAGCTAGGTGGTTTGGAGGCCACTCCGCGCGCTTGAATGGCGTCCCCGATCTACAGGCCGGAGCGCTTCGGGGACTTGGTTGGGCGAGGTAGCTCACCAGACCTTCTGTGCGCGCAGCCGCCTTGCCACGGAAAACTCTCCATCTTCCTACTCCTCGTCGCCTCTTCTTTTTGCTGTTCCTCCGCCCTTTCAGTGCACACGCGTACACATGACTGACGTAGTCTGCTTTTTCTTAGACTGTAAGTTTTGTGGAAGCGGGGGGGGCTGTTTGCGCCGCCATTTTGGCCTCGCAGCCTTGGGAGCCTCGAGTCAGGTGCCCACCCACCCAGCTTCGTTTTCCCCTTTGGCGGGAGCTGCTGGGAGGACGCTCTGCGCGCCTGAAGAGCGCCCCGGATCTTCAGACCTGGGCTCCTCGGGGACTTGGTCGGGTGAGGTAGCTAACCCAACCTTGAGTGCGTTTGGCCGTCTTGCCACGAACAGGTATTCATCCTTCGCCTCCTCGTCGCCTCTTCTTCTCTTTCCTCGGCCAAGTAGTGCACACGCGTACACATGAGCATTGATTGCCTCCAGATTCATTCGACGTCAACATAACTATCCCACGCTTCGATATGAACTGGAATTCTCTAGTTGCTCGCTGCGCGGGGGCAGCTGATATTGGCGCGCGTTTTTCGGTGACACCGCTTTCTGTGCCTTCAATTGCGCTACTACTTGGGCAAGGGCAAGTATTGGTAGAGGGCACCGTGATCTCGGATTTGTCGGTGCAGGTGGCCATCATTTCGTTTGGTAGCCATTGCCATTCCTGGCTCGGGGATGCGGCCATCCGCTCAAGCTGGTTGCTCGAGGCCTGAAGCATGGGCTCAGGCCTGTGGTGGCCAGTGAGTTGTTTACGCCCCTCGCGCACCTCATCCACGGCTGCCCCGATTGCATCGCATCCACAACTGTTCTCGCGATGGGCCACGCGCATTCCTTCTCCTGCACATCTCTCCCCACCAGAATAATTCTACTCACCGTCATCATCATCATCCTCATAGTCATCATCAGCAGCAGCATCATCAGCATCAGCATCATCATCATCATCATCATCATCATCATCATCAGCAGCAGCAGCAGCAGCAACATCATCGTCATCAGCATCCTCAGCATCGTCATCGTCATCGTCATCGTCATCATCGCCATCATCAGCATCATCACCATCAGCAGCATCATCAGTACCATCATCAGCAGCAGCACCAGCAGCAGCAGCATCAGCAGTCTAAACATCGTCATCAACAACACCACATTGATCCTCATCCGAATCACCACCAGCACGATCGTCATCCTCATCATCCTCATCAGCATCGTCATCGTCATCATTATCAACATCATCATCATCATCGTCATCATCGTCATCGTCATGACCATTATCATCAGGATCATCGTCATCATCAGCATCATCAGCATCCGCATCCACATCATCATCATCATCATCATCATCATCATCATCATCATCATCATCATCATCATCATCATCATCATCATCATCATCATCATCATCATCGTCATCGTCATCGTCATCGTCATCGTCATCGTCATCGTCATCATCATCATGCCTCTAAAGGTTGCCCCCTCCCAGGACGGCCAGGTCGGATAAGGAGGGCACGTGGAACAAACGACGGCGAAAGACTTGAAGCGTTCGGCGCGCCTCCAGGGGGGGGTCTTGTTTACCCAACCCATCGCTTCTCCAGGGTGGATGGCTCTCTGGAGCAGTTCTCGCACTGCCCAATGCTCACTACTTCTGTTCACACGACGCTCTCGTCCTTAGAGGAGTGCGGCGAGTGCATCGAGGGCGTCCTGCACCAGTTCCCGCACGCAGACCCGTACAGGCTGTTGGAAAAAACGCACATTGTCTGCGCGCATGCTTCTCAGTTGCCCCAGGCCGTCCAGACCGTCCCGCATCGCTGAGGCTTGATTCGGCTCGGGAGGCCCTTCGGCGCGGTGCGAGGGGCCTGGAACCGGTTTCAAAGAGGGTCCAGCTTGAGGCGAACGAGGTAAGAGACAGTATCTGCCCAGTCGACATTGGGCCGTCCCGCAGCCGTGCTTGGGTCGTGGACAAGAGGCTTATTGGATACCTCTTCGGGCCTATCGGGTCCTCCTGGGGCCTCTTGAGAATCTCCTTGGGGCCTCTTGGGGAACGTCTGGGGGCCCCCCGTCGGCCTCTTGGTGGCCTGCTAGCTGTCGTGGGGGCCATCTTGGGCCAGAGGGCTCGAAATGGTAGTTCGAGATCCCCGTCCTGGACCCCTCTAGGGGCCCCCCTTGGGGGCCTCGCGGGCCCTTCTGGGCGGGTCTGGGAGGGGGGGGGGCTGCTGGGCACCTCGCAGACGCTCTGTAGATCGAAAAGGCGAGCATGCGAGAGTCGCACCACAGAACAAACTAAGTTTGATCCACGATAGTGACCTATGGGGGGGGGTCAGACTTCGGAGACGGCCCAAGAGGCCACCCCCCAGGACGGTCCCTTGGGCTATCTTGGGCATCTTGAGACACGTGGGGAGCGTGGACTCCCAACCATGCCCACGAGGTCTCCAAAAAGTCGCGCGACGAGCCCAGGGAGCGCCCGAGAGCGCCCAGGAATTCCGGGAGTTGGAAGTCTTCTGGGATTTTGGAAGAGCACTTGCAAGATTCACTACTGAGGACTCGAAGGGACAAGAGACCACTCCGCTCAGTGCCTCGCGGCACGGTGGCAGATCATTGGAGGCGAGCGCGTAGATAAGCAGAACGTCAGGCAGCGTGTGGCCGACAGGCGGGGACTTCTCAGACTCTCGGACAGTTCTTTAGATTTCGGCAGGGGTCTCGCGGGGCTCGGGTTGCGCGAGGCGTGCATCCTCGGAGCCGTCCTAGAAGAGCAGGAAGCCGTTCGGAGATCCCCGAATTCCTAACCCGCACCGCTGCCGACCGGCACCCAGATTGAACATATCTCCGCATGCGTTTTCTGCCGATTCGGCCATCCCGTCGTGGCTCGCGCCATGGAAGGTTGGTCTGGGCATCGGCGCAGTTGCTTTTCTGGCCGCCGAGAGGGCACCTCCAACCCTCCCCAGGCCATCACGACACACGAAGCAGTGAGGGCCCTTCGTGCGTTCAGGCTTCGGTCCAGAGGGTCTGGACCGGGCGGGGCCAGGACCGGGGTGAATCGCTCCAGCGCGCCCAGGAACGCTCTCAGAGCGTTCTGGAGCGCTCTGGAACGGCCGCGGCGCCCGATACGTCCTCCAGATTCGCCGGGTCTCAGAGATCCCCGATTCATCCCGGTCTGATTCTGCCCTGATCTTGGGTTCGTCCGATCGGCTACGCATAAAAGAGAGACCCTTTGCCGGAGTGACCTTTGGTGCGGGCCCACGGGTCACTCCGGCGTGCAGCCGAGGAGTGGAAGTCCCGCCCCGCACCCTAGGGGGCGCGCCCCGTCCGAGCCGCTGCCCGCGCTGCCCGGCGGCATCTCCGTCTTCGGCTCCGAGGCCCGCGGGCAGCGCGGGCTCATCGCCGTCTGCGCGCGGGTGGCGCCCGGGCCGCCGCCGCCGCCCGGGCTGGCCCGCTGGCGCGCGGCGCTGGCGGCCGCCTCTGACGCGCGCGGGAGGCCCATGCACGACGGCGAGGGCGACCGTGAGGAGTGGCTGCGCGCTGGGCTCACGCGGGCGCTGCGCCTGGAGGGCCTGCGCGGCGTGGCGGCTACACGTCGGAGGGACCCTGGGCAAGGGTGACCTCGGGTGCGTGACGCTTGGGGGCCGCGGGGAGGCCGAACAGAAGCGCGCCAAGCCGCTGCTATCGCATCGCATGCAGCCATCTGGGCGGAGAAAAAAGGCTCGATTGCGCCGACATTCGCGCGTGAGCTGCCCGCGTAAGGTCGCGCGTAAGCGCCATCGCTTCCACTGCAGCGTGCCGTGACGGCGGCCCGCGTAAGTTGCGGCGCAAGGCCGCTATGTCATCTCGCGCAAAGCCCGAGCCTTCTCGTTGCACATCTGGCCCAACGTGCCCGCACCAAAGGTCACTCCAGCGAAAGGGCACTCCTACGACGGGCAGCCGAGGCATGGCGGTGCTGGTGGCCCGCGGCGATGCCTCCGAAGCGCGGGGCGCGGCGCAGGGCGGCTGCGGCATCACGGCCGCGCTGGCTCGGGAGCTCACCGAGGCGGCCGCGGGCCGCGGCGTGGCCGTGGGGTGCTACCTGGAGCTGTGAGGCATATATGCCTCGGCTACTCCTCCTCCTCCTCCTCCTCCTCCTCCTCCTCCTCCTCCTCCTCCTCCTCCTCCTCCTCCTCCTCCTCCTCCTCCTCCTCCTCCTCCTCCTCCTCTTCCTCCTCCTCCTCCTCCTCCTCCTCTTCCTCTTCCTCCTCCTCCTCCTCCTCCTCCTCTTCCTCCTCCTGCTCCTCCCTGCGCGTAAGATGACGAAGGGACGGGTTTGCTCAGGCCAGGCGCCTCCTCCTCCTCGTCCTCCTCCTCCTCCTCCTTCTCCTCCTCCTCCTCCTCCTCCTCCTCCTCCTACTCCTCCTGGGCCCCGGAGATGCATGGGCTCTCTCCCAGCATGCTCAGACGCTTAAGGTCCATGGCTCCTCACGCATGCTCCAGGTCCTCGCAGAAAGGGACCTGCGCCACGACCGCCATCCGCCTCACATATGGCGATGGGCGGGACCCAGTGCAGGTCTATTTCAAGAGATTGTTGCAGGCCTGGTTGACGAGGCTGGCACACAGGCCGCCCCTCCTTGCACGAGTGAGGGCTTGTTGGGAAGCATCTTGGGCTGTTGCTGGCAAAGGCTGGCGGTATGTCAAGGGGCCCATGGCTGCCTTCCAAGCCTCCATGTTGTCCATCGGATGGGCGGTGCCTGGCCCTGATCACTTCGTTGATCCAGATGGTGACACGTGGAGACGCGTTGATGACATGAAGGGTCCAATCACTTCCTTATTGGAGGCTGTCAGCGATGGCATTGAGCTTCGCCAGTGGCGCGAGGCATCCAAGTTTTCTGATGGTGGAGGAGCGGCTGAAGGTATTTACTGGCAACACGTGCCGTGCCTGCTTCGGTCCTTGGAGGAGAAAGGCGAGTCTTCCCTTGCTGGCATGGTTCGTCTTGTTGCCTGTGGGGGCTACTGGCCAGAGCAACGATCAGCGGACGCCAAGCTGGTCGTGAATGCCATTTGCCAGCGGTGCCTTCGTCTCGCCGATTGCTCCATTCATAGGTTTTGGGGATGTATGTGCAACGATGTAGCTGACAGCCCATTAGTACAGGAGACCAACCACCTCAGGCACCAAGCCCGTGAGGAGGCTCCCGCTGCACCCATTTTCTGGTGCAGGGGACTTATCCCCTCGAGCTGGCTCGACATCCCTGACCCTCTCGGGCTCCGGGAGGTTACTTTGGTGAGGGCCGTTGCTAACCGTAGCTTGCCTGGTGGCACATATGGCACCGATGGCTCTGGCGGCCCGCTGGCGGCCAACCCGTTGCTCAGGCGTTGCTCGTTTGCCTTTGCCCGACTGTGCCGTCCCTGTCCAGAGCCCGATTGGAACATGGGAGGGCACGGCAATTTGGAGGGAAGGCGGCAGACCGTGCCTAGAGCGGAGTTGGTTGCTATTATCGAGGTTGTTCGCCGCGTAGAGCTTGACCACGACCGTCTCGTAGTCACAGACCATGAAAACCATGTCAAAGCGTTCCGTAAAGGGTTCCATCACACCCTGAGCCTTCAGAACGCCGACCTTTGGTTTGAGTTTTGGCAGGCGCTTCGTGGGAGGAGCGCTCGTTTCACTTTGGATTACGTTCCGAGTCATCTGGCGGAAGATGAAGTCAAACTCAACAAACACCTTCCTTCTGCTAATCCAGATGTTCTTTTTATTAATTGCATTGCTGACGCCCTTGCCTCTCATAGGGCGGAGCTTTGTCAATTACCACCGCTTGCAGTCATGGATGCGACCGATCTAGTCGATCAGGCGGTGGCCGTCTTGAAGCGTAATGCCACCATCTGCTTGGAGGTGTGCGCTCGGCCCCGGAACCCTGCCAGGAAGCCCGTGCGCACACGTGTTTCGCAGCTCTTGAGGCGGAGGGCGGCCACAGTGGCAGTGATAGAAAGTGCTGCGCACGCATTTGTGCCCACCATTTTAGGCTGGAGGTGCCAGGGCTGTGGTATTTGTGTCAAGAGGAAGTCCAAAGGAGTCTTTCGCATAGTCCGCTCTTCCTGTGCGGCCACTGCGACGAATGCGGTGGAGGAGGACCCTGGGGGCCTCCGCCGCGGGCGCAAGGCCGACGGCAAGCGTTCCCAGTTGACCGATGAAGTTGTCGACGAATGTCTGTGGGAGCGCCTCGGCATGGCAGAACCTCCTGCCCGAGCGCCGCGCCCCTTTTTCTTGGCGGGCCGGCAGGTGCACGATATCCATGACTGTTGGGTAAAAGGTTCCTTCAGCTTCTGTGGCCAATGCGGCTGCTGGTCGCAGAGGATTCCACAGCTTCTTTTGGAGCCCTGCGACGCCTTGGCCAAAGGCGTAGCTAATCTCACAAATTACCAGCGTGAGGGGCTGCAGAGGATCAAACGAGGCCTCCCCCCGAAGAAGCTGTGCAAGGATTGGGGTCCTCACCCAGACGGCGAGATTGAACTATAGTCTCCTTGATGTTTAAAGCCTATGTGTCAAACCCTTCGGATGTTTAGCTTGTAGACGCGCACTGCAAAGTCCTCCTCCTCCTCCTCCTCCTCCTCCTCCTCCTCCTCCTCCTCCTCCTCCTCCTCCTCCTCCTCCTCCCACACTTCCCCCATCTGCACTGTGAGTTTGGACTGGCCCCAGGCCGCTCGTGCACCCACGCGCAGGGGCGGGAATGCAGGGACCGACGAGGAGAGGCGTTTTGGATCCTACTCGGCCCGCCAGGTGTTGGAGCCGGTTGGGGGTCTGAGGTGGCCCAGCACTGGTTCTGGCCAGCAGGGAGGGGGTGGGTCAGGTTCGAGGTTCTGGGTTCGGGGAAGTTTCTTGCTTGTTTCGCCCTCTGGGTGTCGTTTTCGGGCCCGGGGCCATCCAAAACGGATCCAGGGTGAAAAACTACGCCAGATAGACCCCAGGAGGTCCGGGGACCGATTTTGAGCGGATTCGAATTCATTTTCTGGGGCTACAACCAGTTCAGACCCCCCGGCCGCCTCCAAGCAGAGTGGCCCTTCGCTGGAGTGGCCTCCAGTGCGGGCCCACGACAGTCACAACAGCAGTGGCCTGCACGGTTGCATTTGGTCCCCCTGCGGCCGCCTAAAGCAACGCACCGAAGGGTTACTTCGGTCCGGGTCATTTTTACATGTAGCCGCTTCTTGCCGAAGAAGAAACAAAAACATAAGCATTATAAGTTGCCGCCAGTGAAGGGGTCCAGCGCAGATCCAAGAAGTCCGCGCGGATTTCTGGAAGTCTATGTTGGTGTTGATGTTTCTTCTTCTACCATTCGTCCTCCCACCTCCCTGCTCCTCTTGCCTCCTGGTATGCGTTGAGATGTCCTTTTTCAATGGTGCCCCGAATTCTGCGGGCTGGGCTGTCTGGGACAATCCGCCGGCCTTACATGTCAGGTCCATTTGTACGTACGTCCAGCCAGCAGCGCCAAGTCTACAATAGGCAGTGGGTATGTTACATGTGTGGTTTCTGATCCCATACCCAGGCCTACCACTACGACGGTGAAGGACGAGATAATCAGTTCCAGCTTGCAGGCAGCCAGCCTCGACGTTGGTATCTCCGTTAATCGCCCCAAAGCTGACGTGCCTACATAGCGCGAAGAAGGAACGGTCGATCCAAGATAATGAGGCGGTCAGAAGGGCTTGGGCGGACCTGAGTGATGGCGGTGCGGACAACATCACCGACGAGGATGTGTATGCCCGAAATAGTATTGCTCCGTTCCGACATGTATTGGGTCGTCGTCCTCGATGTTGGGAATGTTGACCGAGCAGCGTTGACTATGCCATGTACAGGCTTGGTGCCGACGAGTGGCGTGTCCATGCTGACTTGAAGCACATACTGGCGACGTGAAACAGCAAGCTCAAGCTAATACTCCCACTGCAAGTCGCCAGCATCGAGAGCATTGGCTGAGGATTATGCCGCTTGGACTGCTGCCGAAGCTTCACTGGGCCTACAATGGCTGCGCCGGCGTCGCCGGGCGAGTGCTGCGCGTGAACGCCAGGCACCTGCCCGTGATCCCACGACCTGCGGTGCAGCGTGAAGCGGCAGTGTTCGAGTAGGGGATCGACTACAGAATTGATTCACCCCAGAATATGTTTGTCTCGTCGAAACTACGAGAACACGTCGAATGTTCCACAGATCGGCGGAGAGTTCTACGTATTTTTGCAGATCCGAGGGAAGTCCAGTTTGGGGTAAATCAATTACGTAGTCGATCCCCTCCTCGAGTTCTTCGTCCGCGTCGTGCTTCCCCAAGCCGATCTGACCCCATCTGCTGCCCTCCAGGAAGGGCCTCGCCCTCGAGGGCCGAGGGAGTTGGCACATCTCTTCCTCGGCGGAGAACGTGCCCGCGGAGGCCAGCGGGGAAGCAGAGCGGCGGCGGCTCCGCCGGGCGGAAGGAAGCCAGAATAGAAGCAGGGTTCCTTTCGCTTGCTCCGATTCGAGTCGATTCGATTTCGACGGATTCAGATTCCGATCCGAGTCGATTTCGGACTCCGATTTGGGCTCCGATTTTTCGACGGGGGGCTACCAGCCTGCTTTCCGCCGATTCAGCTTTTCCCGACTCGGCTGCCATTTCCGCCGATCCGATTCATGTCGATCGCCGATCCGATTCATCGATTCGATTCTGTGCTTGCCTGGAATAGAAGGGGCGCCCCCCCAAGAGATAGCAACATTCGCAGGCATCCGCTGAGGGAAGACGATCCCAATCTCGGCGATAATGATAAAATTCAGGCTTCCCAGGTGACCGAAACATGACCACCAACGCCAGAATCTAGGATCATCTCCCCCTGGTGCAGGCAGCCCCCTGTGTTGGTGTTGGTGCCCATTCCCAAGCCCCCAAGACATGTTGTTTGTCCAGTGTTCCCAGAGTCGGTCATCTGATCATTGTCTGCTAACGCAGTGTCCGCGACATGGAGTACTTCGAAGAAGAGCAGACGACATATTAAGCAATATGTATCCGCGGTCCGAGCGGAGTTCGTGGGTCGGCGCTGGACTCCCGGGCGGCGCCTCCGGCGCCATTGCTGGGGCG